CAGGCTGCGCTGCTGTATGTAAGTGATCTCAGCGGAATCGGCGAATTGAGACGTATTGTATTCATTCTGATCGAAGGCTTCCTTGTAATGTGCTCGAATGAACTCGTGCTGTTTTTCGAACTTCGTCCACAGCTGATCGAGAAGCGCTGAGCGGGTTTTGACGGCGTGGAGGGTGATGTTGGCCATTCCCATCTTCTTTAAATTGGCCATTGATCTGGCCATGCGACCGTGGATGTCACTCTGAGCGGTCAGCAAGACGTTTATTTCATCACTCATGATTTCACTTGCGTACGTTCTCTCTCTGTTCCTTTAGATAATACACGCACTGAACGCGATGATACTTCCGAACGAACGATAAATTCGGCGAAGGCGAATCCGGCTCAAAGGACCAGCAATGTTCGAGAGCGAATTAGAGCGAGAGCGATAGCGGGAAAATTTTGAATGAGACGGCGTTTTGGCTGAATTTCGATTTACGCGAATTCTCAATTGCAAATCAAACGCGGCGGTTTTCTGGCGGCGGAGCGTCTCCTAGGCGGTTGCACTTGTAGCGAAGCGTTGACTCGAGAACAGCGAAGAAGAAGAGAGTCATTGCTTCTCGGTTTTGCCTTTTATGCTCTTTTAAGAACACAGGCTTCCCTTTGCATTCGCCTATGAGATTCTCGCAAAATTGAAAATTTTGAGGTGATCCTCTGTTTCGGGCGGCGATTGGCAATTTCGAGCGCGATGGCCAAGCGGTACGCTATTGCCATGCGCACTGAACGCGACCGATCTGAGTTGATTCGCCATTATAGCGGTTGAGATCTGCGTACGTGCGACGTGTGGCTTAGCTTATTGTTTTTCGCCTTTATTGACGAGGTGATGGTCAAGTTTATGTTTTGGAAACCTCTAAGGACGCTTGGAATCCTTCTAGAAGCTTCCGATCAGCATGTCGCACGTACGCCAAATCAGCAAAAACTATCCGTGTTAGTTGTATCTCGAACATCTATAATAGATTGTATATCAAACTTTTTATCAGATGAAATATATTTTAAAAATAAAGTTTATTATTATTTTTATTATTTTTTAAATAAAATATATAAAAATAATAATATATTTGAAAAAAAATTAACAACAATGCAGTTTAATATATAAACTCAGAGAACAGTAAAGAAATCGAAAATACATACATTTTTATATATGAATATTAATATGTTAATTTTTAAATTATTTCTTTAAGATGAATGCAATAACAAATATTCTGATGGAAAATAGCAGTAGTAGTAGTAGTAGCAACAGCAGTAGCAGTAGCAGCATTATTAGTAATAGTGAATATGAATTTTTAACTAATGATGAATAAAATCATGATATTCTGTTTCCAATCCTACAAATGATTGTAGAAGACATCGCGTAGAAAACTACATCGAAGTTGCACATAGTTGGACGGATGCAGAATTCAAAGAATACTTCAGATTGCATCATAATGTTGCCATAAGATTAATTGGTACATATATGGAAATTATTTCTTATAGATTACTATATTTTCTTATTTAAACAAATGTTATGATTTGTTATGATATATTCTATGAATGTATATATGTCAATAAGATAATTTTACAGTTACAGTTAGTACAGAATGATAAGAAATTATAATGACTGATATATCTAAATATTATAAGATAAAGATAAAGATAAAATTAGTAAATTACATGATTATTTTTCTTTTACAGTTATTTCACGCCTGTCGTAGCTTATAATAGAGATGTTGTTTATAGAATAAGATTTTCTCATCTTTGATGTTTATGAAATATATGCGCAATTTTTGTATAATCTTGAATATCAAATAGATAATTATTTCTTACTATTATTATTCTTATCAATTTATTCGCTTTATAAACTTTCTTTATCATTTTTTATTTGAATTTGCAGATGATCTTGCAGAAAGTGGAATTCTGCATTCATTTGGTCGACCAAAGATATCCACAGAATGAAGTTTATTTATCACATTATGGTTTCTAGCTAACACTGAACCATATCGCACTTTATCGGATAGATTTGATGTGTTCATATCATCAATATTTCGCGAGTAATTACTTGGATTCTAATTAAATTAGATAATATAATCAAGTGGCCAGAAGAAGAATCATTGATTGCAGCAGCTCAAGGCTTTCAAAATAAAAGAAGAATTCGAAATTGTATTGGGGCGATTGATGGCTCGCATATTACCATTTTACAACCACAAGAAAATGCTGCTGATCGAAAAAAAAATTACTCGATAATATTACAAGCAGTTATTACAGCTAATATGCGATTTACAATTTATTGTGATGAACCTGGATCACTCCACGATGCAGGTATTACGGTGGTATTACGTCTTCATTGGGAATCACAAAATAATAAAAATGGAATATTTCTAAACAGAATGTTTATATTAGGTGATTCTGCATATCCATCCTTGTCTTGGTTAGTACTATCGTTTAGAAATAATGATCAACTCACAAAACAGCAAATTGAGTTTAATTTTATTCATTCATCTACACGTATGGCAATAGAAAAGGCTTTTGGTGTATTGAAAGCACGCTTTCGACGCTTAAAATTTTTTAATGAATATCAAGATATTCAATTTATAATTGAAGTAGTTGTTGCGTGATGTATTTTACATAATATATGCATTGCTGCTTTTGATGACGGCATGGATTTATATGATAAAGATAGCGATTTAGATAATAATATAAATGTAAGAGAAAATGGAAATGAAGAAAACGGTAACGACCGAAGATAGAGTTTATTTTATTATATGAAATATTTCCACAGGGAATCCACATAATATAATGTCACATCTTATATGTATATTCATAAATATTTTTACTTTTATTTGTACTTTTAGAAATAAAATTATCTTTGCATACCTTTGGCCACGTATCTTTTAAACCTTACTACGAAAAATGTAACTCAATGTATTTGCTTAGAATAAAAAAAAACATGCATACATTTATGTAAATAAAAGTCGTTATATAGTACTATCCTTTATGTATTATATATTGTAATAAGGGATTGTACTAATGACTTTTGACAAAACCAAATTATATTGATTAAACTAATAATTCTTATTATTGAAATGAGATCGCTCTGAAACTCTTATACATTTATTAATGACATGTAACTTTTAATAATATAACTAAAATATCTTTGAAAATTGTTTTAGTCTAAAACAAATATATATTTCTTTAAATTCAACTTGATGTATAGGAACTCTTTCAGAAATTCATATAAACTCATAAACTTTCCAATTAAATAATTAAATACTTTTAAATACTAAAATGAAAAGAAATCTATTTGAAGAGTTTTAAATTACAAATATATTGAGTTCTATTAAACTTTACGTAACTTTTAATTAAAGTATTATAATAAAAAAAATTTTAATAAACAGTATTTTTTTTATTTTTTAAATGAGAGCATATTATTCATAGAATAGATATTTTGATTCTACTAATTGTTTCAATAATTGGCATTTTTCATTTTCAATTCGTTCTCTGTGCCTCTCTTCTTTCTTTTCCATCTTTCGATTTATTACCGCTTCTTTCCATAATAACTGTTTTTCTTTTAATTGTAATCTCTCATCTATTTTCTTTAGTTTTTCATCTTCCTTCTGATTTTTTATAGCTAATACTTTTAGATGTTCCAATCACTACTTTTCTAATTCCAGTTTTGTCTTGGCAACATATATTGCAGATCCAGGTCGACTTTTTTTTCTTTCTTTAGAAGGTGGTATTACAGAAAATGTTTCAGAAGATGTTGCAGAAGGTGCCACATTTAATAACTCTTGCTGATATTCAATTCTTGAAAGTTTTGTTAATAACGATCCAGATATAGATGATACCGCTTGTTTTCTTTTTGTTGCTGTTGATATTTGCTTATCAGATTCAACGAATGAAGATTATTGTCTTTTGCTCCCAAAAAATGAAGAACCGATTATGTGGTTGCAATTAATATTTTTCCAAACATTTCTTGTATTTCATTAAAATAAGTGAATGTCATTGGACTTTTTCCTGATTTAGAGTTATTGTCGACACATTCTTTATATTTTTTTAACAGTGCATTAAATTTGCATCTGGTCTGATCAGCAGTATCACCTATAATATTCATTAGTTAAATTTTATACTGTATCGAGGATTTCAGATTTTTGTAAAACTTATAAAAAATAATTATACTTACCTCATATCTTAATGTTTGTAAATCTTTCGCAACATTCTACCAGAAGTTTTTGTGTTTTCTAACATTTTCTTTATCACATTGTATAGTAACATATACGGCTAATAGACCTAATATAGTATTATATAGTCCTAATACAGCATTCCACTAGAATGTTATAATACATATATTATATGATGATACATATATTATAATCTGAATATATACCTTATTGCTATCAATTTATGATACTTATTATAATTATAATTATTTATGAAAATATTATCTACAAAGATCAATTAATTCTAAAGAAATAATGACTGTGACTATCTTTCGAAAATATATCGTAGCCAACAATGTTATTCAAACGATTTCAATGTATGATCATAAACAGTGTTACATAGGATGTTTTCTTTTTTGACATTATTTACCTTTTCGATTTGACTTATTAAATTTGACTTATTGTTTATTCTTTTTAACATTCATCGAACGATAAAGATAGAATATTTGTGTCAAATATATCCTCTAAAAGGAAAACAAACATATTCACAACAAAAATAAATATATGTATATGTGCGTGCGTGCGTGCGTGCGTGCATAAAAATACCGTCGCAAGTAGCACAAATGAAATTAGAATCGAAATCCTATACAAATTAATAAAAAAAGTTAACCTCAATAAATTATTAATGTAAAAAAAGTTAATATAAAATGTTAATATAAAATTATTTTCTTATTTATTCTTAATATAAATTATATTAAAAGTGTATAATATTTGCCATTGTAATTTTTTATTAACATTCGTCGACACAAGTAATTTTGTATATTGGAAACAGAAAAAATGATAAAAATTGGTATGCGGGTGCGTTCTAATATCACTTAATTCATTAAAATCATACTTGAACAGACTTAAAACACTCTGACTTTCCCGAGCAGAGGCAAAGTATGTCGATTGAGTTTAAACAAAATTGTAAATGGAAAGCGACGTGTCGATTTGTGTCAAGTGTGTCAACTGTGTCTCTTAAAAGGAAAGCAGCCATTATCATCCTATCTTTGTCCTAAAATTGTATTATACAAAAACATAGGTGCGCAACTAAGTTCCCGCTGTTTGTCAACAGATGGCTCCAGCAGTAAGTACTGGTCGATTCTGACATAACCTAAACGTCATGAACCAAGCTTAGACATATGGTAAACAAACCACTTTGAAACATTAATGATTTTGTTTTTACGTCATATTCTTTTGGTTGTGTGAAAATGTTTGATTTTGTGCCAAATAATTGTCATATACGGGAAGTATTGATTTTCTTCTTTCATTCGAAGAAAACGGCGGCTGAAGCGCATAGAGAGCTTCAAAAAGTTTACGGAGATGCTGCTCTAAGTGAAACAACGTGCCGAGATTGATTCCGTCGCTTCAAACGGTGATTTCGATGTCAACGACCGTCTGCCTGAAGGAAGGCCAAAAACCTTCGAAGACGCTGAATTGGAGGCATTGCTCGATGAGGATCCGTGCCAAACGCAAGAAGAGCTTGCTTCAGTATTAGGAGTTACCCGCCGAACCATTTCCAAGCCATTTTTTCACAATAAAGTTGCATTTTCATCAAAATAACAGCGAGAACTTAATTGCGCACCTAACGGCGTATGACTTTGCTCATGCGGTTTTTTTTCCGAAATTCGAGGCTTTATTGTAAAAAAACTGGTTATACATTTATGATTCAAAGTATTGTCCATCGCTGGCCATTACTTTTTCCCATCTTTCGGGCAGCATACGAATCCCGCGTCGAAAAAACTGGTCATCTTTTGAGGCGATCCACGAATCGATCCAATTTTTGACTTCTTCATAAGACCGGAAGTGCTGGTCAGCCAGGTCGTGTGCCATTGATCGAAACAAGTGATAGTCAGAGGGAGCAACGTCTGGAGAATACGGCGGATGGGGTAGGACTTCCCATTTCAACGTTTCCAAGTATGTCTTGACCACTTTCGCAACATGGGGTCGAGCATTGTCATGCTGCAAAATCACTTTATCGTGTCTCTCGTTGTATTGCGGCCGTTTGTCTTTCAATGCTCGGCTCAAACACATCAATTGCGTTCGATACTGATCGCCTGTGATTGTTTCAGTCGGTTTTAACAGCTCATAATATACTACGCCGAGCTGGTCCCACCAAATACAGAGCATGATCTTGGAGCCGTGAATATTCGGTTTGGCCGTCGACGTGGAAGCATGGCCGGGAACTCCCCATGATTTTCTGCGCTTGGGATTATCGTAATGAACCCATTTTTCGTCCCCAGTCACAATGCGATGCAGAAAGCCCTTCCGTCTTTGCCTTTCAAGCAAATGTTCACAAGCAAACAAACGTCGTTCAACATCTCTCGGCTTCAACTCGTACGGCACCCAATTTCCTTGCTTC